CTTTATGGGAAAGTTAAATTTAACCAATGATTGCTTATTTCATTTTCTTCCTGGGTCACTATTGCATGTTGTAGCTGTCTGCAAGGCTTACCTGGATAGAATCAGTGGATCTACTTTCTTCTCTGATCAACCTGGATTCTTTTTACCTGACCTTATCCTCGAAACGTCCAAAAGTATTTTGTATATTGTCAAACCATCAGTTGGGCTTGAGACAAATCTGAACAATAATGCAAATAGAAAAGAGCTAAATGTGCCGAGCTGGCAAAATATTTCCATTCTGTTAAATTTGTTAATCTGTCTATTAGCTGCCTTGGAATATTTGGCCAATCTTCAACCCCATTCCTAGACATATACAATGATCAACAGATGGATTAACAACATCAAAAGAACATATTTTCCAAAATCATGAACATCCCATCAGAACCACCTATTTCATCTTTTGCTGTAGAAACAAAGCATGGCCTAATCCCAAACTCCCGTCCTTCTGACAATCACACACACGCCCAGATACACCTATGTATCCAAATTTGCTCTTTCTTTTTTGCTCCGACGGATCTCAATGGAGGACATGTTTTGAATAGCTCAGACGTAAGGGCTTTTTTCCAAATTTATCAAACTTTCATTGTTTATCAATGCACAATATGGTTATTACTAAACCTTAAAATTAGGTATGCTAAAAACCGCAATGCTAAAGAAGCAACAATGCAAAAATTAGCGTGAGGCAATATAACAATTGCTTTTTCTAGTTCATTGTATATAGAACTGTAAGAAGCACGCATGTGCGGATTTGGAGAACAAATGAGAGTTAAACATACTTAGTAAGTGGTTTTTCGGTACCTATCGGGAGATTATGAAAGCCTGGACTCCCTACTACAAGAATCCGTTGAGAAAGCAAACATTAGCTTAAATATCAGATTGTCAGGCTATATGTCCTGTCTAATAGGAACCATTGCAATTCATGCTAAATAATATCGTTCCTATAATTTCATAAAGGGAATCAATTTTTCTTATTTTAAAAATTGTTATCTTTGGAAATTTGTGGTCCTGTCCAGCAGAACAAGCAGGACTTTTGGCTTCGCCACTGGTCACACGTTATTCTTTGAGTCGCCTTTCGCTCTCAAGTATCTAGATTACTCTAGAGTTATAGCACACAGTATAACCTATAATATTTTTCCCCAGCCACTCTCTAAGCCACCAAATTTCTTTTTTGAATTCAAAAAATTTTAAAGCTTGTTAAAATACCTAATTTTGCTTGTCATGATTATAACTGCTTGCTCTCTCGCTGCAAACTTTCTGTCTTTATCAATGCACGAATTGGTTTTCACTGAACCATAAATATTTGTTTGCTAAAAACCGCATTGCTAAAGAAGCAACTATGCAACAAATTAGCTTGAGGCAATATAACAATTGCTTTTTGTAGTTTTTTGTATATAGAACTGTAAGAAGCAGGCATGTGCGGATTTGGGGAGACTGAGCTTCGAAAGAGACTTGAGAGATGGTGAAAATAAACATAGTAAGTGGTTATCGGGTACTTATCGTTTTCGTAATTTTTCACCTTTCAAAGTAACGTTATCGCTGTGCTGATTTTTTTATCGGTTTGATAAACTTTCATTCGTTTTTAGAGTTTCTCTGTTAATCAGGTAATGTTGTTTGTTGATTGTATTGAAGCTAGGCCGTCAGGAATGACTGTTGTTTGATTTTGATAAAGAGGTGTATTTGAAATTGGATCTTCCTTTTAAATTCGATTAAATTCCCAGGAGGAATTGTAAGGGAGGGACGGCAACAAGAATTCTAGGCCTCCCTAAGGAAATTGAGCAAATGATCTAGGCCTCCCTAAGGAAATTGAGCAAATGATCAGTAAATAACAAAATAAAAAGATTTTCTGGAGAACGGCTATCCAGTGGATGTCATTTCAGTTTCTCGGTTGAAGTAAATATTGGTCCGCAAAAGTGCCCTGTTTACTTAAAACTATCCTAGATCTGTAACAGTCCCTTGCGAGTGAAAAACTTTATTCAAAAGGCATGCGTTTCTACCACCTAAAAGACTTCCATTATCTACGAATTTGCGTGCCAAAGTGATTCTGGCCAAAGATTGGGGGAAATAATAGAACAGCGTGTCTCTTCTAGCATTAGAAACATAACCCCACCTCAAAGAGAATGTCCACCTCGGTCTTCCAGATCTAAAACAATGACTAAGAGATGCCTTTCTGCTATCGAGCAGCATTTCCTGGAAAACCCAGATTGTACAAACAACTATAACGGTGATACGTTTTGGATTATTGGTAAAACCCGATCGTTGTTCCGTCTAGAATTTTGGGAATCTATCTACAGAAGCGCAGAAAAAGCTTTTTTGTGGATAGAAGGAGTTCCTCTTCACCTTAGGACTCCATTGGTAACTTCTCAATAGGCAAGCGGCAGTGATTAGATAACCTCAACAGTCACGTGCTTGCGTTACTGATTGGCCCATTCCGTTCCACAACTGAGTAAATATATCTCCTAGCGTAGAGTTCTGGTCTATGTTCTGAAGTTTTGCACTCAGAAAAATGTGAGACGTCAAGCTTCAGTATGTTCTAAATGGTTTGCTTTTTGTCAAAACCAATTTTTAATTTTTATACCATGAAAAGATAATTTCTTCTAAATCTTTTCATCTTTAATGCGATCATTTTTAGGGTTGAGAATTTTCATGTCGATATCCCTTGGATACTCTTTTTCAATAGGATCCAAAAGAGTATCTTATGATAGTGCGGATAAGTCTATATCAATGTGGTCAATGGGCAACGCCAGGGGCAAATCGAGACATTCTCAACATTCTCAATTGAGAATGTCAGGTTTTCTCAGTTTTATTATTCTAATTATAGCAAAAAAATTAACTGATTACTTTGATGTTGGCATGACGATAGCTACATAGCCAATTAATGTCAAAGATTTACAGTAAGGAAAGACTAAATACTTTCATTTACACATCTCTATATATGCACTGATAAAAATAATAAATGTCCATGAAAACCCTTAATTATCTATATTTTCGCTCAGCTTATTCTCTCAGCTTATATTTTAAGCTCATTTATCAAGGTCATTCTTTAAGCTTATTCTCTCAGCTTATTCTTTAAGCTTATGAAAATAATCATATGGGGCAATCACCTGGTATCAAAAACAGGCGTTTTGAGTAAATTGCGATTAAAGTTTATCAATGTTTCTTCGAATGTTATTCAACTGGCAAATTTTATTTTAATTCAATTTTTGCTTCCTTTGGGTTTTTACATGTCCTCCTCTGTTTTGCAGCAGATGGTCCTTGATCCTCTTCATTAAATGCCCCTGCCTCATATGTCACCCCTTCCAGCCTCTTCAGCTGTTCTTCTTCTCGAAGCTTTGCTTGACGAATAACTTGTCTGGCTCTTTTAAACTTTTGTCTCAGTCTTGCTGATGACTGTGCAATCCTCCTCTGGTCTTTCTTGTTGCTACCATGTTCTGTATGGGTGCCACTTGGGATACCTAAATTATCCATAAGAGCATGTTTTCCAGTTGCACCAACATTGAATTGCAAAACAGCTGAGCCTGTTGCTACCTCAACAACCTTCATTCCTTTGTTTTGGTGCTTTGGACATCGTATCCAAATCAAAGAATTGAAGGACTCATTCACATTTTGGGAGAACCCTGGCAAGCACCTTTTTAGCAAACTGGTGCTGCTCAAACGGTCAAAGAGAGGTAGCAAAAACTCCAAGAAAACTTCATCAAGATGATATGGCTTATCTACAAATGTTTCATCTGTGTAACCTCTATTGTTCTTATAAGCACACCAGGAGTTTGAAGGACAAAAATAATGTCTCTTTTCTTGTTCTTTCATCTTAATACTGTGATAAAGGACAGCCTTTATATTTTTCTGCATCTTCTCTACTGCTTGTTGTATTTCTTCTTTTGATTTTGCGTCCCTGTCAACAGAGCTTCTAATAGCATTTCCATAATATTTTTGAAGCCTGTCTATTACAGGTCTTGTAAGCCTGCCTTGCCTCCCTCCAACAGCCTTTCCATCTGAAAGCTTTCCACCTGTCTTCTGCATGCTAATTAGATTTTTTCCCATCCTTTTTTGGATGTGACCAATACAATCAAGTTTTTTGACACCATAACATTCCGCAATCCCATTCTCATGTTCATTTTCCCATCTGGTGTATGCTGCAGACTTCAGCCATTTCTGATAATGAAGCGATTTTTTGTCCATTGATGCATTCTTATCACAGTCCTCACATACCCCATAAGTATCCCAAACTTCCGTACAGGCTTTGCTATCTCCATCACACACCATCTCTGTATAACGAAAGTTATGTTTTGATAAGGACCGTCCCCAAATTATCTTTGCAGCTTCCTTCTCCATAGCAGTACTTGAACCTTCAAAGTTCTTTTGGCATTCTCCTTGGCTTGCATGGTTTGCTTTCCATTGCTTGTATTTTTCCAAGTCACCTTTCAATTTCTCAGCAGCCTTACATTTTTCGCATGACTTGGACATAACTGCATAGTCCAACACTTCTCCAGTTTCTACTGCAATTACAACACCTATGCCATAATTTGCAGTAAAGCCTCTCTTGCTCCAAGTACCATCAAATGACACTGCAATGTTTATTGTATCAGTGTCATTTGCTCCTAGGCTGTCTCTAGCACGTTTAGCTGCATCACTAAGTGATTTGCCTACTACAAAATTTGTAGCATCACAAATGGCTGTTTTGTGTTGTTGATATGCTCGAAGACTTGGTGGCGGTGGCATGTTTATTACTGCACACATTGTAGATAGGGCTTCTCGTCCAATTCCAATCTCCCCAGCAGCAAACACAGCTCTGCGATTTATATCAAATGATGCCTTCTTCCCTTTTGATTCCTTCCCTGTTGACATGCTAACTTTGGTGTCGCAGCTCAAGCAGTGAAATATGAGATGGGAACATAGGCCTGCACGTTTGGAAACATCTTCTGATAGTTCTATATCCGCCTGTTTGCAAACAATTTTGTGAAATTCCTTCATTGCATTCGTTAAATTCTTTATATAAACAAGTCTATAACCATTGGCATCGTCGTTATTACAAACTTGATCCTGTATTTTTGGAGTAGCTTTAGTTGCAGCTGTTATCTTCCTCAAGGATGCTGAGATCTCGGTATTTTCGGTATCTGAAATTGTCTCAATTTCGGTAATGTTTACTTCTTGAGAAACACGAATATTGGGCGTTGGTGTAGGCCTACTATCCTCAGACTCCTCAGCGCTCTTTTCCTTCAGTTTTTTGCCCTTGAAAACTTTTTTCTTGGTACGATAACTCCTCCTTACTCGATATTTCTTTCCTTGTCTCTCTCCTTTTGGCATTTTACAAATTTTTTCTTGCAAATCGCACAAAACTGGCTTTCAACTTTCAAGTGTTTTACTCCACCCAGGCAGGCGAACTTTACGAAAGTTCCCGTATGAGAAACAGGGAAGCAAGATTAATAACACAGGGAATCAAGGGAGAGAAAAGTAATGGCATTGGCAGGAAGCTTCAAAGTCTGGGGAAGGGAGAAGGGGTTATTGGCAAAGAGTTTTTATTAAGTTTCCATGGCAACAAAAATCGAATTTGCAACTACTCTCAGAGAAAGTTGTTTTTTACAGGTTTTGCTGGAA